TATAAAAGGGCTATGTACAAAAGACAAGAAGGAAAGAACACACAGACTGGAGCCACACTCACTCAAACCTGTCCCAAGAAAAGGAACCACAGTGCAACCAACAAAGGCAACCAAGGGGAGCAGCAAGAAGGGAGACACGCACACTCAAGCAAAGCCAACTTAGAGCCCAAGAAAACCGCAGTACAGCCAACGAAGGCGACAGAGGGGGAGAAAACAGAGGGAAGACACACACACTCAAGAAAAAAACTCAGAGCACAAAGGCGACCGAGGGAGACACACTCGAAACACACTAAGAAAGACAGAAATGAAAACAGTCACCAATGACCTTACCGATATGGCCATTTGCTCCCCATTGGCGTTAAAAAAAGCGGCGCTTGCGCCGAGAACGTTTAAAACGCCGAGGTAAATAGAACGACAGGCGACCCTTGATACTAGCGATAAGACCCACGGCACTTGGAGGTTTGGACCAAAAACGATAGCCATTCCTTTGACACCAGACAAAAAACTTAAGTAAGGACAGAAGATAACAGAAGACACGAGGAACACACAAAAGCTCATCAGTACTGAAACTGAAAAGAACATGACACACGGTAATAGCTGGTGCCAGAGGAGAGGACAGAAAGAGTAATAACTGAATCCAATCCAGACCACTTTGGGCCAGGGGACAGTAGGAGAATAAATGTTCCAGAGTCTCATCAGAGTGACCACAAAGACAATCCAGAGGGACATTCAATCCGAAAAAAACAAGACGGTGAGCAGTGTACAAAATGCCGTGGGCAACTTTCCAATAGAGATCAGTGGGTTTCCTGTCGAATAGCATGAAAAACAAGGTCTTCCAGGTAGAATCCCAGTCTAAGTCACCATAATTTGAGCAAAACTTTACCACACAGTGGGGTTGCACAGGATTCAAAGACAAGAGAAGCTGATAGCAGGATTTGCAGGTCAAGGAGTCGGCCCTGAGTAACGCGGTGCCAGCAGAACCAACAATAAGGCCAGCTTGAGACAAGGAGCCGTGAACGGCAGTCCAAGCACGCAAAGGCGCCAATAAAAAGCTGGAAAGCGTGAAGCTACCAAGAGGAAAAGAGATGGGGTAGCAATCACAGTTTGGGTGTCAACCCCAAAACGGTCAAAAAGCCAAAAGGTCATCATGTGGGCCCACACATTCAGGGCAGTAGCATAACGACGGACCCAAAAGCCAAAAGCGCACAAACTTTGTAACGGACGGACACAACGCCAAAACCTCCTTGACGAGTAGAACGGTGAACTACATTCGTGGCAACCAAGTCAAGTTTGCCGCTCCAGAAGAAAGAAAAGACAAGAGTATTGAGCTCGGATGCAACCAAATCAGGCATAGAAATAAGGGACTCTATGTACCACACTCTAGAGAGAGCCAGAGCATTGACAATTAGAGCTTTGCCAGAGTACGAAAGAGATCGGCCAGGCCAAGAATTTAGACATTTCTCGACGGCATTAATTCGAGGCCGCCAGTTTTCCTCCTCCAGTTTGCTATTACCAAGATAAACACCCAAAACCTTTATAAAGGCAGTGGTCCATTTGATGGGAACGGGTGCATCTAAACGGCCACGCCACGAACCCAACCAAACACCCTCACATTTACCAAGATTTAGCTTGGCACCAGTGCCTTATTCGAAACAGCCATAAACCAAGAAGATCGCTCTAGTGACACGATCAGAGCACGAAACAGCGGACATGTCATCAGCATACAGGGACAGTACAGGGAGGGGAGAAGAAAGACCAGGGAGGTGCAGACCAGTAATATCAGGATGACAGCGAACGTCAGCAGCCAGCAATTGAGAGAACACACAGAGGGGAGGGGACAAGGGTCATCCTTGATGCACCCCACGGGAAGGCTTGAAAGGGCAAGAGGTGTAACCATTGACAAGGACGGAGCTGCAAACGTCAGTGTAAAGAAGCCGGATCCACAGGATAAAGTTGTCACCAAAGCCCATTTTAGCTAGGGTGGCGCAAAGGAAAAAAAGGCCAGTCAACATGGTCGAAAGCCTTCTCCTGATCCAGAGAAAGGAGAGCTACTGGCAGGTTGTACTCATTTGCCAGTTCAACTTCATCGCGTAAAAAGGTAACGTTCTTGCTGATATAGCAACCCGGCAAACCACAAGTCTGATCGGAAGCGACAACCATGGCAATAACTTTCAAGAGACGGCCAGCCAGAACACAAGCATAAAGCTTGTAATCAACATTAAGAAGACTAATAGGTCGCCAGTTCTTATGGTCTAGGCGATCACCATTTTTTGAAAAACAAGGCAATGAGCGCCTCACGCTGAGAGAAAGGCAGGAGGCCAGCCTCCAGAGAGGCATTGAAAACATTAACAAGATCCCCTCCAAGCAAATCCCAGAAAGAAACATAAACTTCCACTGGCAAACCATCAGAGCCTGGAGACTTGCCCTTAGCCATGCCATTTTATGAGATGTAAACTGAAGTCACCACAAAATGGAAACTTAAAAAAGCATATAATCCATTTATCTCGTAACATAATACACATGACTTATACGACCTTATTTTCCTAATGGTGTTTTGAATACGAACGAACACAGTCGATGTGAGGGGCAAAAACAGCATTAATATGAATAAACCATAGGGTTTTCATTAATATAAGAGTCAATTATTGCACACTGAGATGAATTGCTTGAAAAGAGAGACTTCGCTTGAAGATGTGATCAGAAGTAAACAAAGGCACAATAGTGCGTCACGTTCACTCTTTTTAATATCCAAGGACTGTGAATAGTGTTTCCATATTGTTTAGCTGGCACAAAAACTTTAGAGGAATTATAAAGCGGCATGGTTATCTTCCATGAAGAAAGTTAGTCATGGGTAAGACAAACAGTGAACTCGAGCGAATTTTTAACTCATATCGGTATCAGGTAAAAAATATGTTATCACAGGTAGCCCAAGCTCGAAATATGAGCATCGGCGAGCATCGGCATGGTTGCGTAACATTCAAAATATAAGGATTTGTATGGGAAAAAAACCTATTGTTTCCGTAACCAACGAAAATGAAAGGATTTCAATAAAAAACAACTTACCTTACTTAAAATGTGTGTTACGTCTCTCCTGTGTGGTCCACGGGCCGATTTATGGCCGTTTTATGGGTATTTATGTAAACGGTTTTCCTTTACATAGAGAGAAAACCGTTTACATAAAAACCCATAAAGCGGCCATAAATGGGCCCGTGGACCACACAGGAGAGACGTAACACACATTCTAAGTAAGGTAAGCTTTTTGTTTTGGTGGATTTCGATCCGTTTTGTGTGTTTCTCTGTGTTTCAAGGTTCGTTGCTTGTGATCGTAATTATGATTGACGGCAGCGAAAAACGCAATTGCGAAAGTGGCTTTTGGACTTCAGAGTTCGCATGTTTGTGAAAAGCACAGTAAAGCCTCAGTGGAGTCTGTGAGGATCATAAATCAGGCGGGATCAATGGACAGTTGGCTGTCTGTTTTAGTATACTTCTGGTTTTCATACAATACAATATTTCTGTCTAGTGTAAATCAGCTCATTCTGTCGCATTTTATACTTGTAGAAGGACAATAGTTTTTGGAATTTCCGGTTACGTCAAATTAGTCACGTTATACTGTCACGCTATATTTTGGGGTACAGAGGGATTGGGGTAGAGGTGCGTGAAAATAATGCAAATCGTTTCCTGCTTAGAATTAATGGCTAACTTGTTTATTTTTATTCATAATGGTGGAATTTAAAAGTTATTATACAACCCCCACTAAAAATGGTACTCTATTTTTTTGTTACAAAAGTCTTTCAAAAGGGTAGAATGTTCTGAATGAGTTTATGTTTCAGTCTCACATGAGATTCTGCTTCACGCAATGGTCGGCAACAAGGTTTTATGGTCACCTGAGTGTCAGTGATAGCCTCCCCCTTCCCTAAAAAAATAGCCCCTTCGCAGCCCAGTTAAAAATCGCCTTTCGGCGATTCTTGTCTTTTTTATGCATCCATACTCAACATATCCAGGTCGACGAGTTTGATTTGATAGACCTTTTTAGCTTGAAAGTTTTGTTATCCCAGTAGGCCATTTTCACCATGATGATGACTACAACTACTAGAATTCATTTCGTTCTTTGCTTTCTTATTAAATTTGTCCAAGCTTTCTCAACAGAACAGCTGTCAGTTTTTAATAACTCACCAATCTTACTCGTAACCCCTAGAAAAAATAACCTCGACAACCACTCCGGCCTTAAGAAACAACATTCCCGGTCGCCCAGCCCTGCACTCTTGCTTCTAGTACAGTATTCAGTTAAGTGGGAAGAAAAATTAAACATACCAGTGTTGGATTGTTGAGTTAGAGTTTACTAAACCCTACAGAAAATGTTTTTACGAATGTTGACGAAAGAAACGGGCGCACGTCGATGTTCAAAGGTCGTTCTGCATGATTTAATATGTAACACATTGCTTTGAATGTGACAAGCAGCACGGATCGGTTTGTACCGCTTCTTAAAATAGTTTTAAATTTTTTTCTTTCAGATAGAATGGTTTATTAGGTACAGTTTTTAGGAGAAACTGTTAATACTTGCCTGACAGACGTAGGGCGCGGCTGGCGACGCGGAGTAATTTATTTTTGTAGGCCATTTTTGTATAAAATGGAAGTTGCTGTATCGACCAGTGTGCAAATTTAATATTTGTGCGGTTTTTGGCTGTTCTGTCTGTTGGGCTAAAACATAACTTATGATTGTTTTCTTCCCTTTACATGAGATAACGAAATATAAAAAGAAAAGATATTATCCTTCTGATCGTTTTTATTGTTGTTTTTGAAACAGGGCAGTTGTCTTGGCATTTCATGTATCGAAAACTACATTCGCCCGCATGCATATATAAGCTAAATTTAGCGGCCCCTCCAAAAAATAAAAACAAGGAAAGAAGAGCTGGTTTATGCTGAGACTGTATCCACGAAAAGCTCAATTATCCTAAAAGATTCACTGATAATATAAAAAAGAAAATTAAAGATGACTTATCTTTCATTAAAACAATAAGTTTGCGGCCGCGGCGGTTTCACGGAATTATTCACGGGAACTTGAGTTCGATCTGCCGCGTAAACTCTCATGCCGCATTGATTCACCGTTTTGAAAATTTATTTTCAAGTTTAGTATTACTGGTAAAAAGCACAGTATTCCTATGTTTGACCCAAAAAACTCAGTAAAGTTTGCGTAAACCTGCTTAAATTTTTACTTTTCCCTCTTTTAAAACCTGAACAATTCGGAGGCATTGCTCACTTTTCTGGTTTTAAATCTGAATGGCATGAAAACTTTGATGTTTCATACGACAACATGCAGGTTTTTGTCGCGCCCAAAAGCTAAAATTACCAAGTTTGGTGATAAGCAGGCCAGTCGAATTGGTGTGCGTACAAAACACTTCTTCGTCAGATGTACATATACTCGGACGACCAACTTGGAGGCCTGGCCACCCCAGCTGGAATGTTTTGGAGCCCGAAGGGCTCCCCGAAATTTTTATTCGGGCGGCCAACTTTGAGGTCTGGGCGCCCTAGCTAAAGTGCTTGGGAGCCCGAAGGGTTCCCTGAAATTTTCCTTAGAGCACAGCCTTGGGCCTCCTCGGAAATTGCTTCCTTTTAGAAACCCCCTTTCCTTGGAATTTCCCTTGCTCTCTGTGGGGAGGGGGGAGGTTATGGATTTGTTCCGAAACTTGACCACAGCAAAACAAAGGAAAGAATAAAGATTGGGCTGTGATTTTATAGCTATGATATCTGTACAGGGAAATATTCTTCATCATCAACACTGAAAGTTACAAAGCCTTTTAAAAGTGCTTTAAACTGTCACATGAACCGATGTTGTCTGGAAAACTGGTGATAGTGAAGGCTCAAGACCGTTAGGACTTGAGATTAAATTTAATAGTTTAACCTGGTTCAAACCGGTCTCTAATATTCGCCACACAAGATTTTGGCAAAAACCATCGTTTGAAGCCATTTATTCCACTTGCTGGTCACTTATGAGCAAAAACGAAGCAAAAATACCCAAAAAGTGGTTAACAAGTCAAACACAAAGCCGGCTTAAGTTCCTGGTATGAGATAAGATAACTTTTTAAGTCTCTTTTCAGGCATCCACAGAAAGGCAAACTTGCCTTTAATCTTTTTTTGTTCATTATTCTTCATTTTTTAAATTGATTTTAAAAATTAATTTTTTATTGCATCTCCTTCCCATACGGAATTTCAAGTCTACTATTACGAAGACTTGCGCACAATACATGCATGTGGCTGTTTAAACTTACCTTCTAAAGTAATACTTTTCATCATTTCAACAAGTTTGTAACACTGTTCCTTCCAGCTGTACTTTTCTGCATATGCTGCACATACAACTTCACGCTCTCTAAGTCGTATCTCTCTGTCTTTGTGACGGACACTTTTGATTGTCTGGGCCCAATCTCTAGGATCTTCTGACTCCACAACAAACCCAAAGCCAAACGGAACTTTCTTCAAAGCCTCGCCAAGACCAGAGTTCCCACTGACCAGCACAGGCAGACCAGCAGATAAAGCCTCAAGGGCAACTAGACCGAATTCCTCAGTTCGTGATGGCATTATAGCAAGATCTGCCTCGCAAAACAACCGGTCTAGTTGCTCTCTGCTTTCATCAAAACAGCGCACAGTTAGTTGACTGCGATCAATGCCTTGCTTGAGTAACAAATCTTTTACTTTCTCCTCTTCGCCACTTGGAGCTCCAACAAACAAGAGCTTATAGGGCTCTGGCTCGTCTTTCAACTCAGCAATAGCGCGAGCAGCGATGTCATATCCTTTCAGCTGAAAGTCTTCATTTTCACCACGTCCAAAAACTAAAACACTAAATGTTTTTCTTTCTCCAGTGGCTCGCTTTACATCAGCAAACTCAGAGAAGATTCCTGGGGTAAGATTAAGAACATTTTGATCCTTTCCACAGGCACGGAGATAACCTGAGAAAGCTTCAGCCAGCTTGGGTCCAACTGCTACAACTTGATCAGCTCTTTCACAGAGTTTAACCTCAGCCTGGTACTTTTTCGTGCCTCTAGAAATGGGATCTGCATAGGACTTGTACATACCAAGCTCTTCAGGAGCTGTATGAACGACCTGAATCCACTTGCACTTACACTGACGTTTTATATCCTGCACTTGACGACCAAGCACAGCCCCATGTCCTATCACACAATCCACGGAATGGTCTTCTGGTAGAAAGGACAACCAGTCTACTGGGTTGTCAAAACCAGGGATTTCTTCTGCTTCAATGAGATCGACATTGTGTATTGCAGCGACTCGTTTATCCTCTTCTCTGCACTGAGGGAGATAAACACTGACCTCCACGCTGGGATGTTTTGCCAACTGAATGGCCAGTTCTCGGTTGATAGTTGACAAGCCTCCTTTTGTTGAACTCCATTCGCTGCTTAACAGAGTTACTCTCAATTTCCTAGAGGAAATGGATCCTGAGATTCTTTCATGGCCCCCCAGTGATGTAGAGCGTGTGCCAGGAAAGGATGACAAATCCTAAAAAGAAAAGAAGCATAAATTTTTGGAATAAAGGTTTTTAAAGTGAGGTTCGCACAAACTGTGATATCTGTAAAACTATAAACTAATGAAAGAAATGAGTAATGAACTCCAACATCGACCTTCGCTGCTGTTCTGCATCCACTTAAAGGTCAAATGAACCAAAAATTCGACATTTTTTATTTTAGTTCAATTCTAGTGAAATAAGTTTAACATAAACCGAATACACATATCATACTATGAAGTTTCAACTCAATTGAAGCAGGCATCTCCGAGATATTCGCAATTAAAAATTGTTATTTTTTGGCCCTTATCTTCGTAGAGCGGTCGGAAAAATTGTCAGTAAAAACAGCTTGTGACGTCAATGTTGGTCAGGTGAAAAAAAGCGGGAAATTCAAAACAGTGTTTTTCAAATCGAACAAGCAATTTGTCTTCAAAAGTTGCACGCTGTGGTTATAACCTTATTATTTAATTTTCTCGCAGAATACATCATAGTAAAACGGACTTTAACGACGGCATTAATTTCCTTGCGCTGCACTGGAAATATGCAAGCGTAGGTCCGATTTTTTTCAAGATGTATTCACAAAATGTGTTCACATAAGGAAATTTCTGGATACGTAAGGTCCGGAGCTCCGCTGTGGACACAAAAACAAAATATCTTTGTATAGTGATTTGCCCAAAGAAATTCACGCTTGCCCACAATGTGTTTGCCAAAGGTACTGAACTTTGTCGCACTCGAGCTGATATTTTAAGACCCACGCTCGATCGGACACTTGTGCTTCGCAGAACACTAAAATATAAACAACAGCTCGCAAAGAGAAGCGACAAGCAAAGAACAATTCCATCATGCATAAAATTCTGCTTAAGTGAGCTAAAAAAAGCTTCAATAAGGTTGCAAAACAACAAATTTCCATTCAAAAAACATAAGGCTTTAGGCTCTTATACCTGCTGACAATGAAGAAGTGAATTTTCTTTGCGAAATAACCTACCTCAAGATCTTAACAGCAAAAGATCAGTTGCAAGCTTCACACACAAGCCATGATTCACCATTTAGCTATTTTTAAAAGCTGGTCCATGCGAGGGTTTTCATTCATGCAAATTAAACTCAGCAAACTGAATCATTAGAAAGTACAGAAAACTGTATATAAGGGTTTGTTTTGCTCACTTCAGCCACCAATTGTTTACGGGCAAAGAGTCTATTGTTTTGAAGTCACTACCGGCAGTTGTCGTTCTCAGCTACTTCACAGCGAGTGAAAAGGAAAATTTGCATACAGAAAGAAAACAAAACTACGTAATTAAAAATGAAAAAAGAAAAAAAAACTCTGACTATTATTACTTGAGCAACAGAAAAGTGATCGAAGTAGTCTGTTCTTCTCAAATAAGCTTGCTAGCCTTCTATAGTTCCGAGGAAGTTTTCAGCGCTTAAGTTTGTTCACTCGAAAGGGTTAGCATTACGGTTCTTTGACATAAGACAAGGATAAAGCTGGTTCTGCAAAGGTAATAAATCTGGGCATGTAAAAAAACTAACCGTAACTACTAATAACAGAATACAATTCAGAAACGTTTTCGTGAAGTCTTCGAAAATACTCGGATTTTGATCTTTTATCTTTCTATAAAGGCTTGGGAAGAAAAATCTTTACCCAAATCTCACTTAGGATGGTTCTTTTTAGTGTTTGGTGAAGGTAAAGCGACAAAAGAAAATATTTCATTTTTTTGGTTCATTTGACCTATAAGATCGGACTAAAATGACATATAGGAGGTAAAGAAAAATCAGTCAATAGCTAACATGTGGTAAGCTTTTATCGGCAACATCCGTCCACAAATAGTTCCGAGCTTGGAACCAGTGGCATAATGTGTGTACACCTAAAAAAGCCCAGTATACTAACAGCCAATAAAAACTTAAAGTTCATCCTAATAATTTATGTCTCAGGAATATTACATCTTTGATAAGGGAGGAGGGGGACAGAACAGAAACACCTCACATGCACAGCTGTAAAATCAAGGGTCTAAGATGATGCACATTACTGACTCATTAACACTTTTTGCAATTGCTTTGACTCAGTACCACCATGAGAGGTGAAGATGCTATTTGCCCTTTTCATTTTCTTGAGAGCAATCATGAAAATCAATGGTTTTTCATCATTATTCCAAAAGAGGAACTTAAAACAAGCTAACTGAGACCCACCCAGCAAGCTCATATTGCTTCCACTGGCAAGAAACACCAAGGAGTATTTAATAATTATTACTACTTCCAATCTTCCCTCCTGCACCCTCACCCTAGTTAGCCAGGGATGTTATTCCACAACTTACAGCAATGCTGGCAGCAGTATGTTGCCAGTATAAACTAGCCTGCATAGCTGGCAATTTTTCAGTCAACCATGCTAAAGTAATAGAGGTAAAAATGTGTGTTTCTGTCTCATTCTCGTTATGGCTTCACCGCTCACTTGCACCTCCTTCCACAGTTCCTAACCATCAACTATGCTATGCAGGGGAC